CCCCGCCGAGGCCGAGAAGATCATCCAGATCGTGGATCGCCCGACCGCCGCCATCCGCAGCGAGATGTACGAGGGCGTCCTGAGCATCATGCGCGAAGCCCTCGGGCCTGGCTCGACGGGCCTGCGCTGCAAGTGCGGCAACGCCGTGCTCGCCTCTGCCGAGGAGGGAAAGTGATCAGCTCGCTCGGCAACATCGGCACTGACCAGCCAGAGGAAGCGGCGGCTTCCGATCTGCAGCTTGAGAGTGCTGGCGCCCGCGCGCCCGATGGAGCTCCTGGCCGCGACAGCGCGGAGGCGCCTCTCGAAGAACGGGCCGATCGACCTGCGGAGGAGGCCGTGCCCGAGCTCACGCCCTGGGCCGACTCCGCGGTCAGGACCTACATCGCCATCTGGGACAATAGAGGCCTCCCGGATGGGGTCCGAGCAGATGGGGTCGGAGGATCACGCCGCATCGCCGATGCATCGGCGATGCATGGGCGACGTCGGCGTGGAAAACATCAGGCTCGACATCGAGCCGCATCGCCGATGCATCGGCGATGCGGCGCGATCCTCCGACCCCATCTGCTACGACACCATCCGGGAGGCCTAGAGACAGAGGACCTGAACGCCTCTGCGCTGCGTGCCACTCCCTGCCTCCTCAGCAAGATCCAGGGAAGGGCTCTCTGAAACCCCGAGCGGGCAGTCAGCGGCCCAGGAGGCGGTCCGGAGGGCAGACGGTATGCAGATCGGCATGGCCCGTTTCGAGGCACGCGCAACACCATCTGGGGGCTGGCCTAAGAGCTCGACTACAGCACGCCTCCCGCCCACGCCGCGCTAGAGGTTGAGCGGAGGGAGGGGCCCAGAATCCAATCGATAACGCGGATCGGCGATGGAACTGAATCGGACCGGCGGAAGTCGGCAGGCCAATAAGGATAAGGCATCCGTGGACAAACCGAAATCCACATCGGAATCCGAAATCGAACGGAACAGGAACTGGAACCGATCGAATCGGATCGAGCCGAATCGGAGGAATCAAACTAAGTCCTGCTCGCTGAGGAGGAGCTACGCGACCACCAAGCCGACCAGCCCGCTGAGAACTGCGACGGGGAGGCGGCGACCACAGAGGAGCCCAAAGGCACGAGCAAGGCACGCGCAAGAGCACGCCCTCGAGAGGGTCTGAGGAGGTCGCGGCTAAGACGGCAGCAGCAGCAGCATCCAGCAGCAGAAGCAGCAGCCAGCAGCCCGAAGCAGTAGCAGTAGCAGTAGCAACAACAGTAGCAGTCGCAGTCGCAGTCGCAGTCGCAGTCGCAGTCGCAGTCGCAGTCGCAGTCGCAGTCGCAGTAGCAGTAGTAGTAGTAGTAGTAGTAGTAGTAGTAGTAGTAGTAGTAGTAGTAGTAGTAGTCGTCGTAGTAGTCCTCGTAGTAGTAGTAGTAGTAGTAGTAGTAGTAGTAGTAGTAGTAGTAGTAGTAGTAGTAGTAGTAGTAGTAGTAGTAATAGTAGTAGTAGTAGTAATAGTAGTAGTAGTAGTAGGGTCACCCGTCGTCTATGGCCGGCCTGTTTATGGCCGGCAGTGTGGTTGGGTTTCTATACAGGTGTACGAAAACCCGATATATACTGGGCGTCCTTCACACTTGACTTATGGCCGGCACGCTGTGAGGAATCCTACGGAAGTCTTGAGGAATCCTCAGGAATTCTCCAGGAAACCAAAGGAATTCCCCAGGAATTCTTAGGAATTCTCCAGGAATCCTAAGGAATTCCTGAGGAATCCCGAGGAATTCATCAGGAATCCTGAGGAATCCCTGAGGAGTCCTAAGGGATTCTCCAGGAATCCCAAGGAAGCCTGCAGGAAACCTAAGGAGAATTTGTCCAGGAAGCTTCCAGAAATCCGAATGAATCCCAGGGAATCCTGAAGGAATCTCAAGGAAATCCTCAGGAATCCTTAGGAATCCCTGCGGAATCCCAAGGAAGCCTGCAGGAAACCTAAGGAATTCTCTGGAATCTCAAGGAAGTCTCCAGGAATCCAAAGGAATTCTTCCGGACTCCGAAGGAATACCAAAGAATCCTTAGGAATTCTTCAGGAATCCCCAGGAATTCAACAGGAATCCTACGGAATCTCGGAGGAATCCTAAAGAATCTCGGAGGAATCCTACGGAATCTCAGAGGAATCGTAAGGAATTCGCCAGGAATTCTTAGGAACCCTCCAGGCATCTGAAGGAATCCCCGGCGAATCCTAAGGAATCCTTGAGATCCCATAGGAATTCTCAAGAAATCCTAAGGAATTCGTAAGGATTCTTCAGGAATTCGTAAGAATCCGAAGGAAGTCTCCAGGAATCCGAAGGAAGTCTACAGGAGTCCTAAGGAATTCTCGAGGAATCCCAAGGAATGCTCGAGGAATCCGAAGGAAGTCTCGGTGAATCCTAAGGCTTCCTCGGTGCATCCTAAGGACGTACCCCGAAGATTCCCAAGGAAGTCTCGAGGAGTCCTCAGGAATTCTCGAGATTGAGTATGTGCGTGGAGTTGAGATAGCTCCGCGCAAGAGAGGATATCACCGCAGCAACTGCGGTGGCCACGGTGGCGCGGGACAGAAATGCCAATGGAAAGGGGCTCCCATGAGGCCACCAAATTGACACCAAAAAGACCAACTTAGCGCGATTCCTTTAGGGGACGCACATGTCTTCCGCATCCAGGACGGCCCAAGACGCTTCCAAGGTCGCTCCGGCACAGCCATTGGTTTGCAATAGAAAACTAAGTAGAACCATTGGTTTCCAATAGAAAATGAAGTCAAACCATTGGTTTTCAATAGAAAACACATTAAAACCATTGGTTCCCAATGGGAAACTACTTAAACTTATTGGTTTCCCAAATTAAAGCCATTGGTTTCCCAATAGACAACTACTGAAAACCATTGGTTGTCACTAGAAAACTAATGAAAACCATTAGTTCCCAATAGAAAACTAATTAGAACCATTGGTTGCCCGAATTAGAACCATTTGCTTCCCAATAGAAAAATAATGAAAACCATAGGTTCCCAATAGAAAACTAATAGAAACCATGGGTTTCCAATAGAAAACTTTTTTTTAACAACAAAAAATGGTTTCCAATGGGAAACGAATCAAAACCATTGGTTTCCAATAGAAAACTGATAGCAACAATTTGTTTCCAATCGACAACTAATTAAAACCATTGGTTTCCAATCGAAAACTAACTAAAACTATTGGTTTCCAATGGGAAACTGATTAAAACCATTGGTTCCCAATGGGAGATTCGATAAAAACAAGTGGTTCCCAATATAAACTAATGCAAACCATTGGCTTCCAATGGAAAACTAATCAAAACGATTGGTTTCCAATTAAAAAAAACAAATAAAAACAAGTGGTCCCCAATAGAAAATGAATGACAACCACTGGTTTCCAATAGAAAACTAATAGAAACAATTGGTCCCAATAGAGAAGTAATTGAAACCATAGATTGCGAATAGAGGACGAAATACAACCATTGCCTTCCAATGGAAAACTAATTAAAACCATTGGTTCCCAATAGAAAACTAATCAAAACAAGTGGTTCCCAATAGAAAAGAATAATAATACCATCGGTTCCCAATACAAAACCAATGAAAACCATTGGTTCCCATGGAAAACTAATTAGAGCAATTGGTTCCCAATGGAAAACTAAATAAAACCAAAGGTGTTCAATAGAAAACAAAGCCAAACAATTGGTTTTCAATTGAAAACTAATTAAACCATTTGGTTTTCAATAGAAAACGAATAAAACAATAGCAGTAGCAGTCGCAGTCGCAGTCGCAGTAGTAGTAGTAGTAGTAGCAGCAGCAGCAGTCGTAGTAGTAGTAGTAGTAGTAGTAGTAGTAGTAGTAGTAGTAGTAGTAGTAGTAGTAGTAGTAGTAGTAGTAGTAGTAACAGTAACAGTAGTAGTAGTAGTAGTAGTAGTAGTAGTAGTAGTAGCAGTAGCAGTAGCAGTAGCAGTAGCAGTAGCAGTAGCAGTAGCGGTAGCGGTAGCAGTAGTAGTAGTAGTAGTAGTAGTAGTAGTAGTAGTAGTAGTAGTAGTAGTAGTAGTAGTAGTAGTAGTAGTAGTCGCAGTAGTCGCAGTAGTAGTAGTAGACAGCAGCGCGGCCACTCCAGCTACCTCCTCCTCCTCCCCCTTGGGGCCCTCCCGTTCTCGCTCCTCTCTGCCTGCCCCCTCCAGCTGCTTCCTTCGCCCCTCTGACCCCCCTCCTCTCCTGCCCTCCTGGGGGAGCTCTCGAGGGCTTCCGCGGTCCAGGGTGGTCCCTGCTTCTTCCATTTCTTCTTTGTTCTCCCCGGGGGCGAAGCAGCGTCTGGCGCACCGACAACGATGCCCGGCACCGAGGAGGAGGTGGAGACGCAAGCCCTATGAACTCCGCCGAAGAAACGAAAGAGCCACGATTAGAGACGGAAAACGCAGCAATCCCTCAAGCCGCGATCTGGGTGTCACCGAGGAGGAGGTGGAGGAGAAGCAATCAGGAGGCGGAGAAGGGCACGCGCGCGCTCCCTCGCGTCGACCAGGCGCGGCGGCACATGGAAAGAGAAGGCTCGCGACGAGGGGGCCCGATCGTGCTCGGGGCGGGGGACCTGGGCCTCCTCCCTGGCGCGCGGAGCGCGCCAGGATCGGCACCTGGGGGGCCCAGCGCCGACGCAAGAAATCCGCGCAGGCCTCCGAAAGCGTGTCCTCATGACTAGTTTGCTCTTTGAGTTACACCGCGCTGGAGAGATTCCAGGGAGGGTTCTGCAGGAAACCCGCCATGTTGACAGACGTGGAGAGCCGCTCTGCGCACAGCGGCACTGGCACGTGGCCAGCGACCGCGACCCCAGGCAAGTGAAGAGGTAGGAACCCGGACCTGAGGGGCAACGATGTTCGGGGAGGGGGCTGACTCAGGGGAGGGGCAAACATCAGCCTGGAATCGGCGAATCATCGCCGATAGATCGGCGATAGGCGCCGATGGCGAATCCGTACATTCCTGGGCGGGGAGAGGCTATCAGGCCCCGGTCCTCCATGTGCGCGCGCAGGCGCTGTGTCTCCGCCAGGTCCATGTCAGGCAAAAGCGTCGCGCCATCCTCGCCGACGCGCAACCCCTCCAATCTCCTGATCCTTCTCCTCCTCCTCCTCCTCCTCCTCCTCATCCTCCTCCTCATCCTCCTCCTCCTCCTCCCGTCCTCCTCCTCCTCCTCCTCCTCCTCCTCCCCCTCCTCCTCCTCCTCCTCCTCCTCCTCGTCCTCCTCCTCCTCCTCCTCTTCCTCCTCCTCCTCCTCCTCATGCTCCTTCTCCTCCTGCTCCTCCTCCTGCTCCTCCTCCTGTTCATGAGCATCCTCATCCTCATCCTCATCCTCAATTCTTTTTCTTGTAAATAATTGCTCCCTGTCGCACGCCAGGCCAGTTTTTAGGGCGAGCTGGGCGTTTCGCCTGAGATTCCCTCACCATTTATGACCCTGAAGCTTAAAAAGTAACAACAACTTCACAGATGGAGGGCGGGTGGTTTTCAAAATGTGGCTCTCGCCTTAGCGCCGCGCGCATTCGTTCCAGAAATTTGCAAGAATTTCGCGGACGGAGGGCGGGTGGTTTTCAACATGTGGCCCTCGCCTTAGCGCCGCGCACATTTTCCTTTAAGTTTACAAGAATTTCACAGATTGAGGGCGGGTGGCTTTCAACATGTGGCCCTCGCCTTAGCGCCCCGCACATACCTTTTTGAAATGTGCAAGAGCTTCACGGATGGAGGGCGGGTGGTTTTCAAAATGTGGTCCTTACCTTAGCGCCGCGCGCATTCTTTTAACTGTTGCAAGAGTTTCGCGGATGGAGGGCGGGTGGTTTTCAAACTGTGGCCCTCGCCTCAGCGCCGCGCACATTCGTTTTAAATGTTGTCAGAGTTTCGCGGATGTAGGGCGGCTCTTTTTCAACATGTGGTTCTCGCTTTAGCGCCGCGTACATCCGCTTTTTTAATATAAACTATAAGATGAAAAATGAGAGAGTTTCACGGATCCCCATGATCAGCGAACCAGACATGGTGTGCTGGAAAGGCTCAAGATTACGAGGGTGTAACAGAAACGTTGTTTCGCGGTGTTGAAGCCCCAAGAACGGCGTTCTGGCACGACTCATGATCGCCAAGTCGCAACAATCAAGTTGATTCGTGGCGTTGGAATCCCGAGAACACTACTTTGGCATGCTTCAGGGTCTTCAAACGGTTGTCTTCCAACGAGGCCGTTCCCTCAGTGGAAATGAACCGTTGTAGGGGCCTAAGAATAGGGAGCTTGGAGGGAGGGTTTATTCCAACATCGTTAATGACTGTACTGGCTCTTATCCTCGTCCTCATCCTCCTATTCATCACCATCATCATCATCATCATCAGCAGCATCATCATCAGCCAGGCGCGCGAAAGAGGCCGGTCTTTCAACTCACGAGTGCTCCGCGACCTCCAAGCCCGACTACGAGCCCATCAAAAATGGATGAACCACTGGTGGCGCGTGAGCCACGACAACGACATTAGACAAGCATGGGCTTCTCGTGACCTATCACGGCTTTCACATTTCACGCACCTTCGAGCTGGCCGTCGAGCGGGACCACGGAGGCGCTCATTTCTATCCCTTCCCTCAACGCGACCTTCGGCAAGCGAGTACGAACAGGCACTGGCAGCATATGCGACCAACGGCGGGATGACGGCGACCAAGACATACTCAAGCCTGTACATTGACGACACATCGGCGATCCCACGACTGTTGGAAAAGATGGGCACAACGCAACCGATTGGTGACCACATCGGCGCTCCTACCAGCGAGGACCTCGAGGAAGCCAGCGCCGAACTGCAGATGGTTCAGAAACGCCTCCGGCGTGAGAAGCGACGAAGGTACAACCCACCCTGGGCCTGGCCCATCGAGCAGAAGACTATGATGCTCACGCCGAACTTTCTTACCCGACCTGGACCAGATCGCACAGGGCTGGGGGTGGGACACCATGTTCGGATACAGCCGCTGGCGGAAGAGCTTCCTCGACCTGATCGACGGCAGCTACAACTGGACGGTCACACGCGCTACAAAGTGGTACTGGCATTTGTCACACTACTGGGACATGTGCGGCACACCACGGAGGTGCCAGCTCAAGCCTACACGAGCCACGCCATCGCGATCGGCAAGAAAGGCAAGGTCCCGACCGAACGCCCTGTTGAAGGTATACATCAGCGCGCACGGCTTCTTCATTGTATTAATCATTTCTGGCGCCTCTATCTTCGAACCGGATTGCCTAAGTATGGATCCTTGTATGATGCACCGCCGTGGGTCTACGGAGGCATATATTCCAGACGGCGCGAAGCTCATGCTGATCGCGAAACTGATGATATGGAAGCTGAGAGCAGCAAACATATCTTTTTGGGCCAAGAATTACGCCATGCGCAATGCCTTCGCCACATGTGAGCATGCCCGACTTCATGCTGCACACACGGTGCGATGCGACGACGAGCATTTTCATCCGCTGTTGGAGCTGCACCGTGCCAAAGCAGTTGTCTTCATTCAGGCCTCTGATGCTATCCTCGCACTTCGGCCGGGCACAGGAGGAAGGATGGGGGATTCACACGAACCTGAGATGTTCATGCAATCATTCTACCCAGTAGTGGAGGAGTGGGAGCAGGAGGTGGTTGAAGCGCAGGGATGGCCTTTTCAAGCGGTTTGCCCATTCACCGAGCAGGTTCTCCCTGGGCACTTTGGTGCCTTCATCGACGACGTATTTAAGATTATCCTGGTCCCCGACGGGACCGCCAACCAGGCCTTGCTGCTAGATACGATCGACAATATTAGCTTATCTCGAGCACTACAACGCGAGGATACGCACAGAACCTTAGCAAACAGGATATCCTTGTCAGCCTAGCCAGCCGAGCTGCCACTAAAGAAGCTGAGCGACGTATCCCGGGTAAGGCGGTCCAAGAACTCATAGGTTTGGGTGGGTATATATACACGTAGCCCTACACTCACAGCGTGAACTACACGAACGTATTACATAAGGCAACATAGGGTGGACTCGGTTGGGTGACTACTGGTTCTCCAAGGTGCCTTGGAAAAAAACAAAAGGCAAAAGGTTGTCGTTCCTGTCGAACGTCGCGGGCCGCGTCTGGTCTGGCCTTGAGAGCTACAGATTGCGCCCCCGTGAGGTACACCGACCAAGATACTACGAGCCATGATAAAGGGAGCTGCATATCATCAGGACCCTGATGGCCATCATCGATCGATGAAAAACGCTCCAGATCTTTCGAGAGTGGCAAGTGGCCCCTACTCTTATCGAGCTTTTAGTGCGGCGTCGCAGATGGTGGCAAAGTATCATTAGTAACGTCAGCCACCACGGTCAGTTCTTCGCTGTCTTTTTTGGATGATGTGATTTTGAGAAACAGGCGGCCATATGCAACCGCTCTGTGTCTGTCTCCACCTTCAACGAGCAGGGCGAGATCAACGAGCGTGCTCATCCATGGGCACACCAGCTCTCGGCTGACCTCGAGTGCCTCATTTCGCAGTCGATTGGCGAATCACTTCGGGAGCGGTGGCATCCGCGGACAAAAACAAAATCGGGGTCGATGACGACATTCGTGACGCTTTTTCTACCTAACAGCGAAGACTGATAGGTTTCTAATGGTCTCCATCATGACTCCCCAGGGGGGTCCGGGCAGGATCCGGGGAGAATCCGCGGATCCGCCAGTGACTATGGGGAACGCACCACTGAGGCTGAGGCTGAGGCCCCCAGCGCCGCCAGTGAATATGGGGAATGCACCACTGAGGCTGAGGCTGAGGCACCCAGCGCCGCCAGTGACTATGGGGAACGCACCACTGAGGCTGAGGCTGAGGCCCCCAGCGCCGCCAGTGACTATGGGGAATGCACCACTGAGGCTGAGGCTGAGGCCCCCAGCGCCGCCAGTGACTATGGGGAATCCACCGCTGAGGCTGAGGCTGAGGCCCGAGGCAGGCTGAGGCTGAGGATGAGGCTGAGGCAGGCTGAGGCTGAGGCAGGCTGAGGCTGAGGCTGACGCAGGCTGAGGCCGAGGCAGGCTGAGGCCGATGCTGAGGCAGGCTGAGGCTGAGGCCGAGGCAGGCTGAGGCTGAGGCTGAGGCAAGCCGAGGCAGGCTGAGGCTGAGGCTGAAACTGAGGCAGGCTGAGGCATCCGTAGGAATCCATAGGAATCCTTAAGAATCCCTAGGAATCCTTAGGAATCCGTAGGCATCCTTAGGAATCCGTAGGCATAGTCAAGCATCCTCAGGAATCCTTTGGAATCCTTAGGATACCTCAGGAATCCTTAGGAATCCCTAGGAATCCCTAGGAATCAGGATTCCTAAGGATTCCTAAGGTTTCCTAAGGATTCCTATAGATTCCTAAGGATGCCTAAGGATGCCTTAGGAATCCCTAGGAATCCTTAGGATTCCATTGGATCCTAAGGCCGTTGCCACTGCGACTGTCATTGCGAATGCGACTGCGACTGCGAGAACAGCAGAATTCTACAACTGGAGTCTCACCTGAATCTTAAGGGGAATGCTTCCAGATATGCTTATACACATCGCTGTTAGGTATATTTGCCGGGATGATATATGTGATATACGAGCGCTACGCGCAGGCTTCTGGACATGCCAGTGGACCCCCCCCGAGGGAAATGCCATCCTGGAGGCCGTCCCGTCCCAGAATCAGCAGGCTGAGACCGACAGTGACGATGAGTTCCTTCTCCCTTTCGGATGTGGGCTCCCTGGGTGCGGTCTTCGATGTGGCATAATACGACAACCATCAAACAAAAAGCAAAGCTGAAGGACACGGACAGCCCCAAATATGAACTACCCTACAGTATGACAACAATTGCATTGTATGCAAAACGACATTCCCTGATGTTGATCACGCTGTACGGCATTTACGACGATCATGGCTACATGGTAGGTGCATCGCAGAACTCGCACATCATGTGTATCCATGGACACCTTCAACATGTACGACATGCCTTATAGCTGAGTATCAAGTGGATTATACATGTACTCCTGGATTGTAATGATCCTGAGAAGCTAGGGCAACACGTAGCCACCCACATTCCTCCGTCGCCATCGGGTTCGTTGCTCAAGGCCATTTCTCGCAGAGAGGCTGCTGGCACCACCACCCAACCTTCGAGTGGGCCCTCCACAGTGCCGCCCCCACCGCGTCTCCCACGAGCCGTGGAGGACACATTGGCAGCCAGACGCGAGCTGCGACGTGCTACTGACCGACTCCGTCTGCCAGCTCGCGTGAAGGCTCCCGCTGGAGCGAAAAAACTCGGTGCGGGTGCCTCGCAAGCAACATCGATTGCAAGCCGCACAACAGCCCCAGGCCCGGCGTGGACACGACTGGCAGCGGCGACCCCGACACTACTCCCTCCACCTGCTGCGCCTGAAGACGAAGATGCCAGAGGACGTGAAGGACGAGGCGACGGCGAAGGCTCTGCCGCCCGCGAGGGCATCGTGGCGCCACCCCCTGAGCTCCTCCCAGGCCTCGCGAGGATCTGGGCCAAGCTCGGGGAGAGCCGAGGGAGCACCACCAGCGGCCAAGCCCTGGCTGACGGGCCCCCCGCCGCCTCGCGGAGCAGCGGCAGCGGCCGAGGTGGGCGACGTGGCCATGGAGGGCGAGGGCGAGGAGGACGGCGACCGCCGCAGAAGCCGAAGCGCCGAGGCGGGCGGCGAGCCCGCCGAGGCGAGCATCAGATCAAGACGTGGAGCAGCAAGGACAAGAACCTACGGGCGCTGCTCCAGGCGTCACTCAAACTCGTGCTGCAGGCGGCACACAAGAACAGGCTCGCCTCCCCCGTCTCGATAGACACGTATACGGTGCCGACGAATCACAACATGGTGATCACGATTACCGAGGAGCTCGAGGGGTACAAAGGATTACTCGCTTCACTTCGCACACAGGGGGCCGAGGGCAAGAAGAGGATGAAGGAGATCGGCTCCCCCGCCGCCAGCTTAGCGTTGGCGGCCCTGGAGGGCCTGATGATGTGCGACATCGGCGGCGCGACAAAGAACGACATCAAGACGTACCTGTTGAAGTGCTGCCCAATAAAGGCAGAGGCGGAGCCCGACATCGACAAGCCGACCTGGAGAGCGCCGTGAGTTTCATACGCTTGGAGAGCTGCTACGATTCGCAGCAGATGAAGGTCATAGTCGGCGCCCCCAGCTGGGAGGGGAGGTCTCTCATACAGAAGGCATTGCAGGCCGAGGACGTAGCGAATCACCACAAAGCGGTGGCACCAGCGGGCTGGCTCGAGGCCGATCAGCGAGGGAATGTGACACCGATAAGATTCGTGAGTGGTGGATTGCTGCCAGTTGTGCGTGCCGCCTCTGCCCGCATTGCCTCACCCAGCTCGGAGGGAGGCGAGCAGCTGCTAGAGCAGCGTGCCGACCACGAGTCTGACTATGACGAATACGAGACCGAAGATCTCGTGACAGCTGACTTGTATGATTAAGTTGCCTCCCGCATGCCGCCAGGCCTCGCTGTGTAAGCACCCTTGCAAGCATCATGCACTGAGCAGCGTTCGAGAGTTACAGCTCTCTGCGACGAGCCTTACGTGTTGCAAGTTGACGTGTGCAATCATGTACTTCTTGTGTGGCTCGCATATCGTCTAAAAAAACATTAACAGCATCAGATTCATCAGCAACAGCAACAGCAGCAACATCACCCAGCATCATCATCATCATCATCATCATCATCATCATCATCATCAGCAGCATCATCATCATCAGCAACATCACCCAGCATCATCATCATCATCATCATCATCATCATCATCATCATCATCATCATCATCATCATCATCATCCTCCTCATCCTCATCATCATCATCAGCATCAGCATCATCATCACCATCAGCATCATCATCGTCCTCATCATAATCATTAGCATCACAATCATCGATACGCATCAGCACCATCATCATCGTCATCAACATCATCATCATCATCAGCAGCAGCATCATCATCATCAGCATCATCAGCAGCATCGTCATCATCAGCATCATAAGCAGCATCTTCATCACCACCACCACCACCATCATCATCATCAGCAGCAGCATCGTCATCATCATCAGCAGCAGCATCGAAATCATGAGCATCAGCAGCATCATCATCAGCAGCACCATCATCAGCATCATCCTCAGCAGCAGCGTCATCAGCATCATCATAATCACCATCGGCATCACCGTCATAAACAGCATCATCATAATCAAGATCAGCATCATCATAAACATGATCATCAACATCATCATCAGCAGCATCATCATCGAACATCCTCATCAGCATCAGAAGCATCATCACCACCACCACCACCATCATCAACACCACCATTATCTATCATCATCATCAGCATCAGCATCAGCATCATCAGAATCATCATCATCATCAGCATCGTCATCATCATCACCATCATCACGATCAGCATCACCATCTGCATCATCATCGTCAGCATCACCATCACCATCACCACCATCATCATCATCCTCGTAGTCACAATCAGCATCACCACCACCACCACCATCATCATCCTCCTCCTCACCTTCAGCACCACCATCACCATCACCATCATCAGCAGCAGCAGAAGCAGCAGCAGCGGTGTGATCATCCTCAGTAGCTGCAGCTGCCTGACAACCCACCTCATCGTAAGCAGCATCCTCACCACCGTCATCATCAGCATCAGCATCATCATCGTCGTCGCTGGCATCATCATCAGCAGCGTGATCGTCCCTGGGAAGACCTGCGCTCTTTCACGACGCCACCTCATACAGGGACCAGCCACCCTTAAGGCTGTGCATTCCGCCAATATCCTCCTCTCCGCCTCATCCTGAATTTCTTTCCTCGTCCGCCTTATCCTCCTCCGTCCTCGCCACCGTACACCGAGAAGATCTTCTCCGTGTTGTACTTGGACAGGTCGACCTTGATAGAGTCCAGCGGGACCGCCGGCTTGCCCTCCACCCAGTACTTGACCTGCAACGGCGTGGCATCCTCCTCCATATCCTCAGAGGGACGAAAAACTGCATAAACACGGATTGTTGGAGTTCCGCGCGGATTTCTTGTATCTGCGCTCGACCCCTCTCCCTGGCGCGCTCGGCGCCGGAGGCGCCGCCAAGGGGTCCCAGGGCCGATCCGAGAAATCCGGGCGGAGCTCCAAAAGCTCAAGCTTATGTCTTCGCAGCGGTCTGCCTCCTCGACTCCTTCAGCCCCGTGGTCACGTAAGACCGCCGCGGCCACGCCGCGCCGCTGCCACTGCCGCCGCCGCCCTGCGGCGCGAGCCGCGGCCACGGCGCGCCTGCGGAGCAGCGAAGCGATAGCACAGCCCCTGGGA